AAAAAATGTGCCGCCATTTCACCACACACGCGCGCGACTGGGCGGATAGTTTGTCGCTTTCCGCCGATAGGACTGAGAATATGTTCCCGTATGTCGTAACGGTTACAGAAATGTTTATTCCACAAACATCTACTGCACACAGTGGGTCTTCTCAAATGCTACGTCACTCTAACAGAATTTTAGAGTAACATTCGTCTTGCAAAGGTCACGAAGAATACAGGGAACTACCTAGGCACAGTGCTGGTACAATGTGCAATGTTGTTCCAAACAAGCGGTGAAATGCCGGAGCAACATATCATCAAATATTAAAGGGTAATTATTTTCACCATTAATATGATTGCTATCTTGTATTCATTCACTTAGGCCTTCAGTTAACAATGCCTGGAAATAAATATAATTACGCCTACCAATTTTCTATTGTGAAAATTGTATAGCGCCACCAGAGCAATTCTATCAACGTGGGACAAACACACTGAGTCATACACACACGGAGAATAGAAAACTATATTGGCTATATGTACGTCTTAACAGAAATGGTATACGACAGAAAATATTGGAGTGACAATTTTCTACGGTTCGATTTTGTCATACCCCTGCCTGAAAGGGGAAGGAAAGCACCCTCAACCATTTTAGTGCTCAGTCAATTTTACAGAGACAGAGAAAATGATGTTAAATGTTTTACCGCTGCCGAGTGATGAAAATTGTAACTTTTAAAATTAGATAAAAATGATGGCTAAGCGTACATCACACGGTAATGATAAGAATGTTGAAAGCAATGATTTGCCGGAAATTGCGCTTTCTGGGCATTCCTGCTCCTTCCAAAGACCACAATATCAAACAGCTGTAAAATATAGAAAAATATGCCATATCATCGGCTACTTTTTTTTACTACAATCCAGATCAAGAAAGCATTCATCCGTAAGAGCTAGTAAAACTGACATCATGAGTCCCTGTTGTACTTATTTAAGGATGTAATACCGATACAAGTGCCGGGTATGGATGGTTTTATGACATACATGTACGTATGTGGTACACGTGTACTGAGCAACAAATGCTATGTATAGGACAGCATGTCTTCTATGGTGAGACTAACAGGTCCCTATGAATCTGGTACTAAAGAAATACCCCCTATTGCCTTTAAAACTTGAGTATTTGTAAGATATTCTTAGAATTTCTTTCGTTCTTCCATTTGAATAATTATACCAAACGACCTATGTATTATCCGCCTGTAACCTTTTTAACGTCTAAGAGGTCATCTAGGTTCAGCCCGAATCATCGGGAATGGAGGGTATAACATATGTATGACGCCAAGTCATCGGGATCTAAACAGCCACACTAGCTCACTGAAACAAAACAAACACTATCTTTATGGAAAAAACAGGAAATCTGTTTATAAAAAGAATAGGGTATCGTTGCTTTTACTCACCTGGCTGTGCAGCGATGCCAAAGACACAGCAGATCGCGACGGCACAACACAGTTGAAATGCTGTCATGTTTTTTCTCTTGCTTGCTTTCAAACAAACACGTCAAAGAAAACTATGAAAAGGGGAGGCACATTAAATGCTCCCCTAACGCTACTGTACCACTTGCCTGCCCTTATGGTGGTTTGATTATGGTTGTCCTGACAGTTAAAAAAAGAATGGGGGAAATGCAATTCCGAGTCAATAAGACCCCGCTGTTTCTAACAGTATATTTTCGGGAGAAGCGAGACCTCGTCAACAACAACACAACTCAGTGAGGAGGTGCGCAGAAACAATTGCAGTTCTTATCCTGTCAATCAGGGTGAAACCATTGCGATATTAATTGGGGGGATACCGTAACAAAAAGCTTGAGAAAAGTCACCGATAATATTATCAACTTGAATTCTGTCTTTTTTGTGCTTGGGGGGAGACATATAAGTATGCCAAAGAGGATACAGGAACCTACTAAGATCATCGCAATTGATATAAAACGTTTATACCTAACGAACCCCCCACCTCCCATCACAGGATAAATGTGCTCCAACAGGTGGAGGCAGTTATACTGATGGGTTTCTAATAACGTGACTTCTACACAAACATCACAAAGGCACCTGTAGCATAGGAGGATCAACAAACTTAGTGTTGAGTGATAAATTTTAAATTATTCATAACGGCATCTGGAGTTAACAATACCCTGGGTTAACTTTTATGACCCCTACCAGTTTTCCACTATAGAAGATGTATAGAGCCTGTCAAAGCTAATTTCATTAACGTGGGACTAGCTGAGTCATTTACACAGGGACGTTGATAATGTCATAAAAATTCAAATTTTAGGAGGTGTGTGGCCTTATTTCAGATGATTGTATAATAAATTGACGTTTACACTTGTTCATTCTGGAATGAGGTTGACTCTTTCTTAGGGTGCCCACAAGAACGTCATGTGATAGATATTACTTACTGGTTGAAGTTTATATTGCATGGGTCTTTTTACCTCCGTCTACTTTGTTGACATTGAATGGCTTGTTTACCGGAAGATTCATACTGTTTTAGACAGGCAAAGTTGTAGAAAAATATATCTTATTAGCTTTGTTCAGGTACGCGTGTATAAAAAGATTTTGATATAATGATAATCATTATGTCTTTTTGTACGTTTTGGTAGATTGGTCTATAGATCGTGCGAACATCGATAGATCGTCGACCGTAACTCGGGCGACGTATGCCCGTGTGTCGAGCGAGCTTCGGCCGACTACTGTCTGGTTAAAAAGGTGGTCGTTGTGTCAACCAGACGGTAGTTTAAATGCGTGGCTCTTGTGGTAGTATTTGAGTATGATCCTTCATAGAATTCCTGTTTGTATTTCTATTTTATTCTGCCAGTCCCTCCATTACTGTGCTTAAAAAATATAACGACAGGTCAAACATAAAAATTGCTCAAACTATTCATTTTTGGTGGATACACGGCCTTGCTTCATCTGCGTACCATGTCATTATCATAGATGTATTGCCAAGCGATAGCCCGAGCCTCGCACAATGTGACAGCGACGATTTTCAAGCCAAAAATACGCGCGATCGTCGTTCGATCTCAAAATCGGCCGATCTTTCGGCGATTGACAAATGCGGCCGAAGCTCGTCGACAATGTGACGCGGGCATTATGACAGCGGATGCAGTGACAACGCCTGATAATTAATTTTTAATGAATTACCCCTACCAGTTTTCTACTATGGATCGGGTCTGATTGTGTTCTCCGTAAAAAAAAAAACATACATTCGCTCAAAAATTGGAGAAAAGTGCCCCTCACCCATTTCTGTGCACAGTTCCTATAAAAGACATGTGACTATATGATGTTGGATGTTTTGCTGTTACTGAGTAAAGAAAGTGACATATTCATGACTACACCCGCTTTCAACAATGCCAGTTGTGATAAATTATTACTAGCTCAAAAGAACGGTCATTAATTGCAAGCACGTCAAACACGTCTATAGGATTGCTCAACTGTAGTGTCTTTACTTTTCTTACCTGAGAACTAGATGTCATAAAAGGGGCGTTCCAAAGAACATATCTATAGCTGTTCTATGTAGAACAGAATCCATTCCAAACGTTTGTGGTCACGGATTGGATTGTAGGAAAATGTAGTACTTTGCCGTCTGCAAAATGTTCTAACCTGTTGCTCTGTCTCTCAGCCACATTTTGTTTCATGGCTTTCATGACATTAGCCAGGATACCGTCCTCTGTATCTACTGCCGACTCCCTACTGTCACTGAATGACTGTTGAGGATGACACCCAGACCGTTATGACACAATAAGTTGTTATTTTTGTTATTTCCGGCCGGCCCAGTCCTGTTTGTTTTCGACTTACATTAGTCATCCGATCACCAGGGGAGGAGAGAATAGTAATGACAATAGACTTTATTGTACAGCAATAGTACAAGGTAAAAATATGGCTATATTTATGCTGAGACATCTACTTTACAAAGTGTACGTAGTATCAGATGAGAGGCACACGTCCTCGTTCCAGTGTGGTTCTCTGTCACCATGGCGACGAGAAAAACATACGACACTGGCAGCAATTAAGTCATTAAATTTAAAATATTAATGACATTTCCTGCAGGTGACAATAGAATGATGAGAACGTCTTTTCATGCCAGTAGCAGCGTGACGAGAATAGATTGGCGTGGTCTTCCGCTGACGTGGGTCTGTAACTATGCAAATAGCCTCGACTCTTTGAAAAAAAAACAACTCAAAATAGCTTCCCTGGTCTGTGTCGTTCTTAATCTTACAAAAACTTGAACGAAAAGGTTGTTGTACAATTTTCTAATTGATTGTCCATTGTAGAAATTTGTTGTTTAAGTCATGAAATAGAATGGTTTGGTGGCCTTGTCGCGTCACTAAGTTAGGGCCTGGTCATATACACAATGGGTCGTCCTGCGATTCTAATGTCGTCAAATGTTCCGAACAGGCTGTCACAAAAACACATGCCAACAATAAGGACGAGTGACATGAGTAGTCACTATGACAACAGGGACAAAAGAAATGACGCAGGTAGCACGTGCATGGAGGCATGGTATTCTTGAGAAATCGAATGAATAAATGAGGCCCAGCAGAGGCTTTTGAAACAAAGAACAAATAAGTTCTGAGTAACAAGTGACAGGTATAACACAGTATGTCTTCTGTGGTGAGACTAACAGGTCTCTATGAATCTGCTATTATGTAAAAAAAAATCCCCTATTTCCTTTAAACCTTGAGTATTTCTCCAACTCTTCTGAAAGCTAATAATTCGTTTAAAATTTTAACTATTATCTCTTTCTTTCGTCCATTTGAAGAATTATACTAAACGACATACTGTCCAACTGTAACCTATCAAACGTCTACATTTTCATCTGGCGTCAGTACATGTACGTCCGAATCATTGGGAATAGAGGGTAAACATATGTATGACGCCAAGTCATCGGGATCTACACAACCAGTCTATCTCACTGAAACAAAACATAACACTTTATTTTCGGAAAAAAACAGGAATTCTAAGTATTGTTGCTTTTACTCACCTGGTTGTGCAGCGATGCCAAAGATGCAGCAGATCGTGACGGCACAACACAGTTGAAATCCTGTCATGTTTTTTTTCTCGCTTGCTTCCAAACAGGTCAAAAGAAAACTAAAAAAAGGGGCACATAGAATACTCCCCGAACGCTACTGTACCACTTTGCCTGCCCTTATAGTTTGATTATGGTTGTCCCGACAGTTAGAAAAGAATGGGTGGAAATACAGTTCCGAGTCAACACGAACCCACTGTTCCTAACAGTATATTTTCGGTAGAAGCGAAACCACGTCAGCAACACCTCAACTCAGTCAGGAGTAGCGCAGAAAAGTGACAGTCCTTATCCTGTCAATCAGGGTGAAACCATTGAAGTATTAATTGAGGGGGGTATCGTAACAAAAAGCCAAATAAAAGTCACCGATATGATCAACTTGAATTCTGACTATTTTTTTCGTGGTTGGTGGGAGACATACAAGCAGGCTACGTCACTCTAACAGAATCTTAGAGTAAAATTCGTCTTGCAACGGTCACGAGGAATACAGGGAACTACCTGGGCACAATGGTACAGCTGGTACAATGTGCGATGTTGTTACAAACAAGCGGTGAAATGCCGGAGCAACATAGCATCAAATATTAAAGGGTATTTATTTTCACCATTGATGAAATGGCGTTTCCAAGAACCTATCTTTTCCCGTTCTACGTCGAAATTAACTTTTTTGGCCAAGCAATTCTGGCCATGGATTGGATTTTGGGAAAATATAGTACGATGCCGTCTACAAACTGTTCATGGGCTATTCTAACCTGTTGCTCTTTCTCTCAGTCAAATTTTGCTTCAAGACTTTTATTATATTTGCCTGGATACCGTCCGCCGTAGTTACCACCGACTCTCTACTGTCAATGGCTGAATATGGATGATGGCACCCAGACTGTTATGCCACAATTGGTTGTTATTGTTGTCATTTCCAGCCCATTCCTGTTTGCATTAGACTTACGTCCTTCAGTCATCCAATAACCAGGGGAGGAGGGAATAGCGAGAACAAACATCTTTAGTGAATAACATATGCACAAGGTAAAAAAAAAACTGTATCTGTAGTACAACAAAAATGCCAAGACATGTATCCTATTTACAAAGTGTATGTAGCAATAGATGGGAGACACACGTCCTCGTTCCGGTAAAGTTTTTTAGTCTGCTCTGCGACCATGGCGACGCCAAATGACATGGGACATTGCCTGGCAGAAGTTAAGTAATTAAATTTGAAATATTAGTGATATTGTCTGGTGCCTTCGGGTGGCGTAGTGGTAGATTATTCGACTGTGAACCAGGAGACCCGGGTTCGATCCCGAGTCGTACCCGCGGGACATGCCTCGATATGCGCCAGACGTTGTGTCCTTGGGAAAGGCACTTTACACGACTTTCCTCACTCCACCCAGGTGTGAATGGGTACCTAACTTCGGTTGGGAAAAGCCGTATTGAAGTCACCTTGTGGCGCCGAATGGCAGCCAGCGCCGCACAGACAGTTACGGCAGTTCCACAAAAATGTGGAACAAATATGTACCATGTATCATTATGTGTATTATTACCATTTGTATCATTGTACCATTGTAAACCCATACCATTGATCAATTCAGCACTATAAGGCTGCAATTACACGGGTGATGTTTGGCCAATAAACCATTTATTATATCATTATTATTATTATTATTGCCTACAGGTGACAATAGATGGCCTTACTCTGGAAAAATGAAAACGCCTTTTCATGCTCGTAACAGTGTAACGAGAATTGATTGGCGTGGTCTTTTACTGACGTGGGTCTGTAACTATGCACTTAACCGCGAATGTTTGAAAAAAAAACTCAAAATAAAGTCCTTGGTCTGCTGTATACGGTTTGTCAATCAATTATGGATATGTTTTTTTTTTAAGTCATATAAAAATAATAGTTAGATGGCCTTATGTAGCCTGTTGCGAGGCATCGTGTCACTATTAGGGCCCGGTTACATACGTCATCGGTCGTCCTTCAATTTTCATGTCGTCAAGGAAGTCCTAACTGCAGACAATAAAGACGGGTGACATGAGTAGTCACTATGACATCAAAGACAGCACAGAAGAAAGGACGATGATAGCACGTGACAGTTGGCCTATTAACAGGATCATCCTGTCAATAACAGAAAATGTTGCACTATTGACAGGGTTATTTTGTAAATGGTGTATTTTCGTCTCTTATTGACGGAAATCCTGTCACTATGGTTTCGCATGGGTGAGTAGTGCGCATGTGCGCATATACGTATATTAAGTCAGTCCGCGCCACTTTTAGTTAAGACTAACAACAATGCAATTTCAGCTGAAATGAACTGGTACCATTAAACTCGGATTTACCAGCCTGACAAGTGGTGAAGTTTTATCATGATGCTGCACAGGTATGGATTTTGTCTTATTATGGTCAGTTTTAGTGGTTACTAATTCGTTAGGTCGTAATGTTTGTCATTTTTTTTTACATTTTACCAACTTTCGTACCTTTTCTCAGTTTAGTTATCTAGGTTGTACACATTTTCATAGTTATGGAAAATACGACCATCAAAGAAAAGTGATATCATGTACAGCTGATATTAAATAAATAAAACAAGAATGACAAACGAAGTAAAATTCATTCTATTACATACAAGTTTATTCATATGAGAATTTTTTAAAGTAAATGTAAATTGGAGCAAGGAGATTATACAGAAAATGGCCTTGGGAAAAAGACTGTAACTCCAGAAATCCTGGATAGAATTTTTCCAAGACGATATCAAAATGATCACGAGGACTTTGGTTACAGTTCTACTCAGGACCTAGTTCTACCCAGAACCTAGTTTAATTCGAATACTACCATCTTCAATACTTTGTATTGTATTGTGTTAGTATTTCATATATGTCTGTCATATAAGTTTTTAATGTTGAAATTGAAACTGTTATTTTTATGTATTTAATGTATAATGACATGGCTAATTTATTCATAGTCATCGTGATGTTCATTTGTAACTATCTTCTCGCTGCCGGTTCCTCATGTCCAGAACTTGAACTCAAAGGTCTTAAAAGAAAAGAAAAAATAACCATTATTTACAAGTGTGATTAAACAGAGTAAATGTAAGAAAACTGGACAATAAGAATGGTGCCAAATCTCGACTATGTAGTGTAAATTATATAACCTACCTGGAAACAGCCTTCATCTTCATCGTGTTTAGGAGAAGCTAGTTTCATCACCGATGGGCGAGGGATCTTTAACTGAAGCGGGCGAAGAGACTTTCAAAATGTAGCATAGTCAGAGAATGATAACGAA